TAAAAAGGCTTTTGCATCTGTTGGATTAAGTTGAATTGCTTTATTAAAATCATTTAATGCTTATTCTTTTTCACCAAAACTAGAATATAATATTCCTAATATATTATGTTGATACATATTTACCTCTATTTGTATAGGGCTTTGGATTATTTGGATCAAGTTGGACTGCTTGATTATAGTCATATATGGCCCTCTCAATCTCTAAAATACCTTTATAAATATTGCCTAATATAAAAATTTTATCAATAATTACCTCTGTTTAAATATGCTTGAGAATATTTTGGATTAAGTTGGATAGCTTAATAATAATCAAATAAGGCTCTCTCAATTTAACCTATAACTTGATATAAAAAGCCTATAAATTAAAATTATTAGTCTTCACCTCTATTAATATAGGCTAGTTCATTATTTGGATCTAATCGGATTGCTTAATTATAGTCATTTAATGCATTGGATTTATCACCAATGTTTTCAAATAATTTGCCTAATATATTAAAATTAATAGTAATTACCTCTATTAGAATAAGCTTATGCATAATTTGGATCAAGTTAGATTGCTTGATTAAGGTCATTTTATGCTTTGGATTTATCACCAATGTTTTCATATAATTTGCCTAATATATTAAAATTAATAGTAATTACCTCTATTAGAATAAGCTTATGCATAATTTGAATTGAGTTAGATTGCTTGATTAAGGTCATTTAATGCTTTGGATTTATCACCAATATTTTCATGTAAGAGACCTAGCAAAATAAGAGGAATAGCAATCACCTCTATTATAATAGATTATTGCATTATTTGGATCAAGTTGGAGTGATTGATTATAATCTTTTAATGCTTTATCTTTGTCACCGATATCTTGATATAATTAGCCTTAAAAATTAAGTGTACTATTTTTCACCTCTTTGTAAATAGGCTGTCGCATCATTTGGATTAAGTTGGATTGCTTGATTATAGTCGCATAATGCTTTATCCTTGTCACCAAATGCTTTATATAATTTGCCTTATA